GTAAGTATGTATGTATGAATGTATGTATGTATGCATGTATGTAATGTATGTACGTATGTATGTATGTATGTATGTATGTATGTATGTATGTATTTCACCTGGCTGTGTATGCATGTATGCATGCACGCAAGTATGCATGTATGCATGCCCATAGGAATGTATGAATGTGTGAATGCATGAGTGAGTGAGTGAGTGAGTGAATGACGTGAGCTGGGCTGAGTTGAACTGAAATGCATCAAAACGAACTGATTGGGTTGGAATGAATTGAGTTGAATTCAACTGGAACGAATGATGACTGAATGACTGAACGACTGACTGATTCACTGACTGACAGATTGACTGATTGACTGGTTCTTTGATTGATTGATAGATTGATTGGTTGATTGACGGATTGATTGATTGATTGTTTGATCGGCTGATTGATGGAGTGTGATTTGTTGGCTCAATGCTTGAATGAATGAATGAATGAATGAATGAATGAATGAAGGAATGAATGAATGAATGAATGAAACGGATGAATGAATGAATGAATGAATGAATCAACGAATGAACGAATCATGAACGAATGAACTCATGAATGAAATGAATGAATGAAATGAATGATTGATATAATGAATAAAATGAACGAATGAAATGAATGAATGAAATCAAAGAAAGAAATGAACGCACTGAATCAATGGAATGAATGAATGAAATGAATGCATGAAACGACTGAATGAAATGAATGAATGAAATGAATGAATGAAACGACTGAATGAAATGAATGAATGAAATGAATGAATGAAATGAATGAATCAATAAATCAATGAATGAATGAATAAATGGATGAATGAATGAACGAATGAACGAATGAACGAATGAACGAATTAATGAATTAACGAACGAACGAATGATTGACGGGTTTTGGATTGATTGAATGTTGATTAATTGAGTGTTTGGCGGTCTGGATGGATGGATGGGTGCATGCATCCATGCACGCATGCATGCACAAATGATTTCGTATTTTCAATTTCCATGTTCATCCTTATAGGTCTTCATAGCCAGTGCAGCGCCCTAGAGGATGCTTGGGGTCGGCAAAAGACCGTCGTCCTCACGGATCGTTGCGAGAAGATTGAGTAGCCCGGC